ATTTACAGATGTAAAGAGACAGACACGAAGGCAGAGAAAAAACGATAAAATAAATTGGCAGCAATTTTATTGCACTTAGGGATAATAACTATGTAGGTGAGTTGTGGAGCGCACAACTCTGGCATCCCTGAACAAAGCAATCTCATTGGCACTTAGATAGGTTCGAAGGTGCGGCGGTGTTACTTCGTGTAGGGAGTAAGTGTGTTGTTAGTGTGGATTGTTTTTTTGACTAAGCTCCCAGTCTGTGTTGCATTCAACGAATAAACGTATTCCGCGTATTCCTCGATGGCTTTGAAGCAGCTTAGTCAATCCTGGCAGCCTTTAAAAATTTGGAGACCCTGCCATAGAGATAACTGAGCATACGCCAAGTCTTATTAGTGCAGCAATCCTCTACATATTAATCATAAAGAGAGCTGTAAAAGTAAAGGCACAATTCAATTTGTTTTTGATTTAGCAACATTTTCCATGGAGTGTAAAGAGAAATTTGAAAGATTTAAATATGCCCAATTTGGAGGAAAAAATTTTCTGTGTGCAACTGTAGCAGATTGCTACTTTATTAAAGCCTGACTGAATCAGAAATCTCTATGGCAGATCCTCCTGACTCAGAAATCTCTTTGGCAGATTCTCCTACATCTGGACTCCCAGAAAAATCTAAGCTATAGCCCAGCTATAAAGGAAACAGACGCGTAGCCACGTTTATTCAGGACGTATATTGCGGATCAAGTGTACCCGCTTATTCAGGACGTATATTGCGGATCAAGTGTGTACACACAGAGTATATTGTGGATAAAGTGCACACGCAGGTTCAGTGGGTATATTACGGATAAAAAGTACACTCAGGGAGCTACTCATGATCAGGATGGGGGATTAGGTTAAAGGAGGCTAATGATTGGTCACTGTTTGTACGGTCGCTGCACACAGAGGTTATACGGCGCACCTCCCAATCCTGGCGAACTGCACACAAAGTTGTACGGCCGCACCTCCCAATCCTGGCATCTCCCAGTCCTGGCGTGCAGGCATGCGATGACGTGTCCCACAAGGCTTGTCCCGAGGTTCTAGTGATTGGCCACTGTTTGTACGGTCGCTGCACACAGAGTTGGCCGTACCTCCCAATCCTGGCAGCAGACATGCAGGCATACGATGCACTGTTTGTACGATCGCTGCACACAGAGTTATACGGCGCACCTCCCAATCCTGGCGAACTGCACACAAAGTTGTACGGCCGCACCTCCCAATCCTGGCCTAGTGATTGGCCACTGTTTGTACGGTCGCTGCACACAGAGTTGTGGTCGCTGCACACAGAGTTGTACGGCCGCACCTCCCAATCGCGAGCAGACATGCAGGCATAAGATGACGCACACAGCGATAACGTGTCCCACAAGGTAGATATGTGCACACAGCGATAACGTGTCCCACATGTCTAAGCCAGCTAGATGACATGAGAGATGACCAATTGTTACACAGAGCGATAACGTGCCCACACAACAGGAGGAACATTTTCTCCTGAAGTGAATATGATGAAAAATGATACAAGTACGCCTTCCTTGTTACTCTGCCATATAATACAGTAATGATTTAAGTATAGAGCCTGTGTTTTGATGTCTAAATTTCAGGAGTCTTGGTGATTCTTATAGCGGCTTCACGAACACTGCATCCAGAGTTATTTAATTTAGGTGTTTGGTCAGCCAATCAGCATCAATTGATCATCTGATAGGCAGGTTATTAAGAGATCAGAATTAGATTTAACTCGGATTAATACTAATTATGAAAGGATTTGAGGAAAGCAGATTGCTTTTTGTAGGTAACTTAGAGATACTCTTTTGTTGGGAAAATACTTTTCCCCATCTTTTCTCGAACATTTATATTTATTTATATCAAATTGTTATCATTAGCCCTATAGTTGACTTCAGACTTCACAGAGAGGAGGAGGGGGGGGGGAACAGGGGTGTTTCAAAGATGTAAAAGAGACAGACATAAAGGCAGAAAGAAGGTGAGGTGAGTACTTTGAAAGGGGTCGAATATGACATACAGTGGGGTGATGGCAGTTTGAAGTCAGAAGTCAACTACCGAATAATAGACTTTTTTGCCGTATGAGTATACGTTGCCCAGGGTGCACCACTTGGAGGTAAGTCGATCGTTCACCCCGCTTTTCTCGAACATAAAGATGCGTAGATATTGTGGTGTAAGTTGTCTTTGTCCAATATGCCCTATGAAATCCACGTTTTTTAAAATCAACATAGACGCCAAAATTGAGCCAATGTTGGGAGTAAAATATACAAAAGCACCGATCAACTCGGCCACTCGAGTGCCTTCAGTTTCTGCGATAAAGTGGCATGAAGGAAACAAAGAATAGGAAGTAGATTTTGTTTTAATTGGCAGTGAGTGATGGACTTTAATATCTAAACAAATATCCGCTTTTTAAGGTTAATTACGCAAAGTACTATTAAGACAAGTGACTGTATAGGTACGGCGTCGAGGAAGTAGTTTGCGGAAAGGGTTGCGCGATTCGTTTCAAAAGACAACTCTCAGTTACATGCACATATGTTTCTTGGAATGAAAAAAACCTCTCGTGAGTTGTCGGATTTCAAGAAAAGCTAGAAAGAAAGTGTATATAGAGACATGACTAAGGAAATCGATGATTGAAACGTCGGTGCTGATTTCCTGCCTTAAAAGTGCCAATCTCCACCTTATGGGAATTCGAGAGAATATAGTGAAGTGCAAATGCTCGTAGAGAGAAGAGCGCTGTTTTGATTTATCAGTAGGCTAGTTTTTATTCGAAGGCACTGATCAAGATATGCTTCAAGTGCTCAATTTCAGGGTGTTTTAATCTTTATAAATATTGCTTTAAACGCCATCAATCAAAACGTTGTTGTGTAAGGGGTATGACCTTGTTCACTCAAAAGGTCTTGACAATCGATTTCATATAGGCTTAACCCTCTGTGCGACTGTTAGAACAAATTTTTGTCATTAAGGCATGTAGCAACGATTAGACAAATCAGAGATATTCGAGAAGCCCTATTTGCTAAATATATTCCAACTTTCAAAAACCGACCTTTTTGAGATTCTATGTCAGGGGAATATAATTGGACACTAAAAATCCCTAAAGCAACCTCAATGACACAAGGCATAAAAGATGACACAGATCTTCATCACATCTTTATAATAACAATAGAAAATCTTGATACATAATGTCACACCCAAGGGGGCATGTTTACATACAAATAAAAGACCGAAGTGAATTCCGAAAATGCCACAGAAATATATGAAATAGTCTCATCGGGATGAGGGTCTAAGGTGAATTTCATCTTCATCGTCATCCAAGGTGTTGAGAAGTCTTTCATCAACCTCCCCCACCATATTTTCAGTCTCTCCTGCTGAACGGTCACACGCGTTGACCCTCTCCATTGGTCCCAACGACTTGGGACGCATTCTTGGTGTGACTTGGGAGAGAGAGGGAACTTCCGCTCCTTCACCGACATCGAGATCCTCTCCTTCCTGTTGGCAACGGGCGGTGAGAGGTTGATTGAGGTAGAAAGAACTGGTGCGGAAAACATTGCTGACGTAGGGTTCCAACATGCTGATTATGGTGCCAAAAGAGGGTCGACCTTCAGGGTCGCTGTACCAGCAGGCTTTCATTACGTCAAGTCTGCAGAAGAAGAGAAGTCCATTATCATCCATAGAACTGTACAAGATTTAAAGTTACTTATTTCGCAAAATATCAAAGGGAATTCGGGGGTGGGATATATACATTTACCTCAAATGAATCCTTCGTATCCTATATCCCAAACAAAACAATCAGAATTGCAAATGCCATTAAAGGTAGTTTAAGAAAGGTTGAACACATCTTCCACGTTGTAAAGATTTGTTTAAGTACTTAAACAGACCGGAAATCCAAATAATTGAATAAACATGAAATTAAGGTAGAAGCATTGCGGTTCAAAGGAAACAATAACATTGTTGATCGCAACATGGGGCGTACAATAGATCGAGAAATAAGACATTCTTTCTGACTTCTTTCAATACGTTAATTATCACGAGCATATAATACTATTTAGGTCAACTAAGCTAAGGACCGTGTTTCGTTCCATTATCATAGCACCAACATTTAAAAATCAATCAGTGCTTGTCTGATTGAACATCATAGTCAACATCCGATTTGGAATTGAAAACATCAATTTATGGGGCACATAGTGCTGTTAGTTGGTAGACGGACTGAATTTAACTTAAATGTTGTTGAGTTCATATTGCAACTAAAAATGCCCATTTTAGTTTAAAATAAGTCTATAAAACCAGTTGAATTACGCATTTCCGAAATTCTAAGGCCAACTGCTCCAAAATGAGATGCATCTCACAGCGTTGAAATTGTCAGTTGGAGGTGCTAAGCCTTTTTGGAGATTTTGGCAGCAAACATAAAAAGTAAGTAAAAATAAAGAAGAAAGTGAGAGATTTGGGCCTTAGTTGCACAAAAGTTTTATTTTATTTTATATGTATTCATAAGGGGGTAATGCAACACTAGCTTGTCATTCTAACAATTCACTCAACGCATTTTGCCAAAACAAACATATACAAAAGCGAAATGCAATGTGTGGGTGTGTGTGGAAAAAAGGTTTGAGTAGATTTCGGGGCATAAATAGGATCACTTGAAGACCCGATATACTTATTTTGATTCTAGAAGGCTACACAAACATCCAGATACTTTCGATGAGATGTGCAAAGGATTATGAAATATCATAAACAAAATCATCCTGTCCGGAATTTGGAACAGAAAAGTTGGCCGACTTCGGAAGGAAGACTACTTGTGCCCTTTAGGTGAAAAGTTGTCAGAAAATTTATGCTGCTTTAGCAAAAGTTAGCCATGGTCTACAATTTGTGGCACTCATAAAACAGCCATGGACAATACTTTTCGTTTATTAAATTGAGAATTCATGCAATTAGCCTTTGCCACATAATGATTAGCCTTCAACTAGACGCAGAAAGAATGATTCAATTACTCGAATCCTCCTCCTCCACCCACTATTCGCTATTCAACTTGTCTCAGATGGCTTTCCGCATTTGCTAATTTCGAGGCAACGATGAATGAAATGAATGAAGGCTTACAGAATGTCAGGGAATTTGGGTGGCCAGCCCTGCTTGCCCAAATGTCCGCCATTGACCACCAGAGTAATGACCTCCTCGTGTGAAAGACCCGAGAACGGCAAGGCAGCGAAAGTGGCAATCTCCCAGAGCACCACGCCATAGGACCTTCAGGAAAATAGGGAAAAAAGACAAATCACATAGTCTATTGAAATAGATCATAGGAAAATGCAAATCTTTAAATGCCACGAAATGTTTCGAAATATGGCGGAAATAGCCCTTTGCAACCGTTATAAAAAATGCAAACTGCAATTGTGTCAAATTAAATTCCAAAAATATACAGAACTCATGTTAAACGCAAAATCCTTAATTGTTTAGATTGAAGTGAAACAAAAAATTTAATTACATAGGATTGCCACAATTGGCCTAGTAAATTTGGAGAAATTTACCAATGCAAATTAAGCCTGTTGTGTGGTCTTGAGCAGTTATTTTTTGGGAAAAAAGTGGAACCAAGTACGACAATGAGTTCGATTGCAAAGTTTTGCTCGTTTGGTTAGTAATTTACATCTCCGTTTTATGCTTCTTAAACCTCGAGTATGAAGAGCACGTTAAAATGTGTAACTATGGCATCTATAGTTAGGACCAAAGCAACTTTTAAAAATATAACCATACCTATTGACTTATTGTTTTCTTCTTCTTTTTGAAGGATGCCGTCTACGTTCCAACTATAAATAGAGCCAATGCAATCTTGCGTGTCACAGCCAAAATTTAGTAATTGACACGACCCCATGCCGAAATGAAATGTGAACCGGAGATCGCGATTACTCTTTTAGCACCTCTCAAATAAACTCTTCTCGTTTCAACTATTGACTTTACCGGTTAGTATGCGTTAAAACATTTCATTGAAATCGATACAAATAGAGTAAAAATAATCTTGTCGAATTTGAATTAGGTGAAAATACGGTGAATTCAAGTTAACTCCAGCATAAGAGTGAATCACAACACCGACTTCTTCCAGCATTCACACGAGTATAAATCGAGAGATGCCAAGCTGTGCTCGCAGCGAGTCTTTTAATTATACCTATTTTGCAGTCGAAGGAGAAATTATATGATCAACAATAAACCCGGTAACTCGAAATAAAAATGACCAGCCCAATTCGAAGTCATGCAAGTAGAGGAAAGTAAAAAATGAAATTTGAAAGATTAGAATGACTCATTCGTAAAAGGAAGCCTTCGTCAGTAGCTCTCATGTAGACGAAAACTAAAGCCAACAGATTGTTTTAATCTGATTCACCCGACTATGAGACATCTACCGAATTTTCCCGAATGGAAAACCATTAATACTAAAACTTGCTGAAAAAGTTCTCCATAGACGTTAATCAGCAAAGTGAAGTATTTAGTATCAGCCAAGTATTGATTTCAACTTACCAGACATCTGACTTGAAGGTGAAGTAAGCTTCTTTTAGAGCTTCCGGTGCCATCCATCGAACAGGGAGTCGAGCTCGACCTTCCTTACGGTAGTACAAATGGCCCGAGACATCACGCGTTAAACCAAAATCTAAAAATACAGGCCAACAAGAGGAGTGATAGAATGCGAAATTCCCACAGGAAACATTGAGGAAGTCGTCACTCTATCCAAACCAAGGATTGTTCGCACTTACATTATAAGCCTTCTATTTGATGTTGGAGCAACTAAAAGTCATTTTTATTCAGACTCGCATAACTCAAAGTCTCTTTTACAAAGGGAGATAGGGATTCCTTTCTTTGAGAAAAAAATCCGAAAGATATTTGAGTTGAATTGAACCCAAGTAGGGGGTCATATTCATGGAGCTGAGTTCGAAACCCAAGCTACGCAGTGGGATGGGTGGAATATAATTTATTCATTCACAGCGCCATGAAATGTGGAATATGTGGTTTATGCTAGAATGTCTACCTCCTCCACAGGTAGAGCAACAGGAATCGGAAGTTTGCATATTCAAAGAACTACAAAACAGGAACAAAACTATGCATAATTTTAGTAACAAGAAGCTCATTGTCACATTTCAGGTGAAATTAAAGTGTCATGAGGTATATCAAAATAACGCTACCCGTATGCGTGATGTTACCCCATGAATTAAAGTAGTGTTTACTTGGCATGCCTGTGATCTCAATTATAGTGTCCCCCTCCCCTGATGTTATGCGATATTCCCACTCCAGTTTGTTAAAACGTTTGAATACGCTTGTCGCTCATACCAATGTCTATAAAAACCGATTCTCGGAGTATATCCAATTGACTGCACTAATTTCAAGTGAACCGAATATGCACAGGCAATAGAGACTGGTAAAAAAGGACATATACCTCCAATTTTGACGGTCAGACCAACACCAACAAGACAATTTCGAGCGGCAAGATCTCGATGCACGAATCCTTTGTATTCGAGGTAGGCCATTCCATCGGCAATTTCCGCAGCCCATTTTATTGCAAATTCAGGAGCCACGCTACCCTGAGAGTAGTCTTGAGCCATTCGATGCCGTAGGTAGGTCGCCAAGTCACCGTGTTCCATCAATTCCATGACTACAATGGGTTGGCGACGAATAAGTACCTATTTAGTGAAATACAATTCGATTAATAGTTGGAAAATAAATCAAAGTTAATTGATCAAGTAAAGTACACAAGTAAAAGCGGAATTATTTGGAGGTGATTTCATTTAGAACGAATGATTTGTTAATATCTCCATAGATCAGTCACAAGATAAAAAGGGGGTAAAGGGAAAGCGTAAATTCGCAAAAAAAAAGAAACCAACCTGTTTTGAGATGATACCCAACAGTCGAACTATGTGATTACAGTTGAATTGTTTCATATGTGAAGCTTCTCCGAGGAATTCTCTCACGTCATCATAGGTCGATCCAGGTGAAAGTATCTACAATATCAAGCCCAATATCAATATCAAGTCCAATTGCTACTGATATTAGTAAGTAGAATAAAAATATAGATAAGTTCGCTAATCCTTCCCCCCCCCCGGAAAAAAATTAATCATAAAGTTGAGGAGTCGATTTGATATATTCATTATCATCCTCAACATTGACTCTAGTAATTTGCTTAATCTCAGGTATATTATTACGCACACGTCGTCATACTTGGGCCATCTGATTTTGTGAAGTGCTATCAAGTTATTACGTAGTCATGTATGTCCAAAAGGGAGTGTGCGATAGACTTACCTCCACGTGGTGCACCCTGGGCAACGTATACTCATACAGCAAAAAATGTCTATTAACCGGCAGTTGACTTCTGGCTTCTAACTACCAACACCCCACTGTATGTCAAATTGGACTACTTTCACAGTAATCACTTCACCTATTTTCTACCTTTGCGTCTGTTTCTTTTACATCTTTGAAACACTCTTCTGTTCCCCCCTCCCTCTCTCGAATTTTTCCACTTTGATATTTCTTCTCTGTGAGGCCTGAAGTCACATAAAGGGCTAATGAAACTATCAAAATGCCTGCCATTTGATATAAATAAATGTCCAAAAGTAGAATCTATTTTACAAGTGATTAGACCACTTAATTGACCCTTGAGTGATCGTAGCGAGGTCTCGCGTTTCACAACCGTTCCTCCCTGGTTCAGAATGAACTCTACGTGCATACAACGTGTGCAAACACTGATGAGGACACGTACATATCACTTGCTGTAAACGCGACATTCACTCTAAGTCTCAGAAGCCACCGCTTCCACTCCACCACCACCACCACCTCTCTTTTTCTGACGGAGACCTCTACCAATAAATATGTCTATTGCAACACCCTATAAATATTTAATGGAGAATAAACGAGGTTAGGTATAGTCGGCAGTTACTAGGGCCCAATAATCAGCTGCCCAATTGCAAGTACTCCTCTAAAGCTTTACCTTATCTCACACGTTGAATATCACTATAGGACTGTAAATATTTCTTACCTTAACAGCCACATTCATTCCCTGGCCTTTGTCTGAGCCTCCATACCCCCGTCTAAGACTCTTTGACACAAATGAGGCAATCCAGTTCATTCTACTTTGCAAAGTGGTGGAGGCAGTTGATGGTGGTCTGTCTGCTCCTACAGAAGTGGTATTTGCAACACTATCACCAGATGTAGACGTTGGCGTCAGGTGGAGATATTCGGCAGCGGGTGTAGTGAGACGAAACAGTCGCCCTCGACAGACAAGACCGAAACTACCTTGACCCAGAGTGTCTACTACATTGTAGGTCAAGTCCTTCGGATCAACTTCCCATTCATCTTGGAAGTTTCCTAGGAGAAGGGACTCTAAGTACTCGGACTTCTGACTAGCTAGAGCCTTCATCCGGCGCCTGTTTCAAAGGATATAAATAAAATTATAAAACAAGAGAGCACACCGAAGGCTCTGAACGAAGGAGAAGAGGGAGTGATTTAAGCTATGCCAGAGAGTTTTAAAGTAAGTCAAGAAGCAGAGTCTAATTGTATCATTTCCTAATGTTTTAACTTATTTCTTGTCATTGATTATATAAATGGCCTGAGGTAGGTTTTCAGACGATTCAATGGCCATTCACCCTTCCCCCTTTACACCTTCCTCCTGTGGTTGTTATAAACTTGGACAAAAAATCTTTTAAAGTGCCACTAAGTTTATCTTGTTCAGGGCATATGAGGACGTGTGAGCGAATTTACGTCTCTTATAAAAAATTTGTAATACACGGGTTAGAAAACTAAATTAGTGGGATATTCAAAACTAAACTCCGATTTAAAGTAACATATTCATCCTTCCGCTCGCCTTATGGTAGGAATGACGAGAGAAATCCTTAAATTTCACTATCCTCTCACTCTCGGATATGCTGATCTCTGCTCAACATGATTGTTTATTAATGGTGTTTAGCCCAACGACTTAAAAAATTTACTGGCATCAATAGAGCGACAATGTTACTGCACTTCGTCATGCATAGGAACTTCGATAGTGGTCTCATGCCACCAACACCCCATTTCCCCCTCATAACCAAGGTAGGTCATTGCATGATAAGCTCAATAGTTAATCATCGGTTAATATGCAAATATGTTCTTACAACATCGATATATTTGGTCTGGCTTGGGAAAAAAGACTAGGTTAGTCTAGTGAATACGTATCTTTTCCTCTCTAGAATGAAGAACAGCTTCCTTTGGGTAGGACTCGACAAAATATCAACACAGAAATCAATAAGTAAATGAGCTGCAGGGTTTTTCCAAAAAGCCGCCCAGAGCAGCTAAACGGAAAATTAAATTTCACGAAACTATTTGGGGCAAAATAACCGCCCACCAGAATAAACGCCCATGGGAGTTAATAAAGGAGTATAACCTTTCACTGTGTGCATCTAGCGTGTGCTAATTGTGCATTCGGAATGACTCCTTCCGTTTTGTCGCATATTCGGATGGACGGAATTTTGGAAAACCCTGTCATAAATGAAATATAAATTAAGAGAGGATGGAAACGTACTTTCGATTGCGGCAATCGAACCACACCGCAAAGGCGATAACAATGCCGACGGCGATCAGGGTAACAGCCAGGATGGTTGCTATATGAGCTGAAAGCAAATATAACGGACAAGAATAATTTATAGCCGACATAGTGATGCAATTGCGACATGGTACAGACTAAACTCCAACAATTCCCTTAGCTTGGCAATTATACCCTTAATGCTTATTTAATTAATCTATTTTTTCATAAGCCCATCTTGGGTAGACAATAGAACCACGAAGTCGCCTCCCCCCCACCCCCGTTTGAAACTTTATCCAGATATGGCAACGCACCCGTGACAGCAAGGTTAACAGGCTAGAGCGCCATTTACTACAACAAACTACTAACAAGATGATATATAGAACAGTATTCCAGCACTATGAATATCAACTTACACGGCTGCAGACCATCACCAACCTTGACATCGAAGAAGTGCGATTTTGTCCAAGAGCCATTTCCAGCCAGAGAGACGGCCATCACCTGCCATTCGTAATGGCCAGCACGCACGGAACCCAACTCGGTGTAGACAGTGCGGGCTGTGGGACTGCAAGCGGGATCGGACTCACTATTTTCATCTCCACATCGAAGGGCTGCCAGTGCTTTGATAGCTGCTCTATCCTCCAAGTACTTGGGTCGAACGCAAATAGTAAACCAGGGAGTCTAGGAAAAGAAGTTAAATATCAGCTGAAGAACTAAAGACGAACACAACTTGGAAAAATATGCAAAGTAAACTTGAGCAAAGTTCAATCTGACCAATCCAGGTAAGGTAGAAGTAGGTTTTCCGCTGCGTTCGATGTGGATAGGCGTGTTGGTTCTGTCTCAATATTTATGGTGGTGATGATGATGGTTAATGATACCAGTTTACACCAGATTACCGACATTATTAGCGTGGAATGTGTCAATTCAGTGCATAAATAGGAAGGTAATTGTTATAAGACATAAAGGGCTCTAGAACCCAGCAGGTTCCTCGGAATCGACAGGCTTAAAAAGTGCGATTAACCATTATGTTCTCAGTTTGTGCGCACCGATAGACATTGGATATGCACTACAATGCGACAATATCTTTGCTTTCCTGTTCATATGTGCCCCTTAACACTCAAACAGGCGCTATTTATCCCCTCCTTAGCCCTGCGCACCTCCAATTTCTATTTTGTCATAATGAAGACTAACTTGAGAAAATCAAGTAATGTTCCATTTTCCTTACTGTTGCGACCAAATAGGGCTTGGGGCTTAATAGAATTCGTGGCCTCTACATTTTCTTATGAGTACGTTAATCAGAGCACTTTCTTTGATCAACCACAAGTACGAATCAGACTAGAATGGATCAAAAAACCTACTGAAGCTTCCTCAGACGTTGTTCCTCTACTACTCTTTCGATACTGTAGCCAGTAATAGAGGATCAGACCATTTGGAGAATCAGGCTCATTCCAAAAAAGTGTGACGGGTCTCACACCTGCTTCCTTAGTCGACTGCTGCTGTTGTTGACCAAGAGCGTTGCTATTGACGCTAGAATTATGGACAGAAAACAGAGTGCTGTTATTGGCGCTGAATGTAGCCAGATTGGAGAGATTGGCAAGTGGGTCGGGTGGTTGGCCAAAAAGAGGCGGTTTTTTAGTGTTTGACAGACCATTAGTGATGAGGGTGGAGGACGAGGTTGGAGAAATTGGTGTTAGAGCATAAAGGCTGGAGGAAAGCACCGCATCCGCGTGAGGAAATGCTTGCGTCCGCTGGGAGATTTGAACGGTTTGACTGCAGCTACGAACTTGACTGGATTCGCTATCTTCTTCCAACTGCTCGAATGGGAAAGAGAAGAGTTAGTCTACATTTGTCAGCATAATTTCAAATTAGATCCATTAATGACACTAATAATATGCTTCACATTCGCTCAGAAAGGTCGAGAAATGATAAGGAGAAAGGAGATAGCCAAAATCAAGTAAATATAGATCAGTTTAAAGATTATTGCAAGCTCGAGTCGTATAAATGCCTACTGCACAAACGATTATAGTGTAAATTTGCAAAGAGATAGCTCAAAGCGGTTAAGATTACTCACAGAACCAGTTACCTAGCAGCCAAGTGTAAATATAAAGTAAAAATCAAAGGGGAGACCATTTGGTAGGTACAACGGTTTCACCAATGTTTAGGAAGCTTCGCACTAAATAGATAACAAGTAAATGGTGGAGAATTTAGAAAACATTCGGCCTTGAAAAGAAATTTACGACAAAACTCGACTGACTTTGAATACGGTAAATGGCGGAAATCGCTGACGCTTAACACATGGTATGAATTGCTCGAAAATAGAAAGAGACACCAGCCATTTACGAATTGGCAGGCCAATAAAAATGCAATCAGTGTGGGAAATATGATAAAATACCAAAGTGATAGATTGAAAAAACGAAACTCAAAACAGTTGAGTTCGCACGACATTGACCTTTTGGAGTTGATTTCATCAAGAAGAGAAGGGAAGGGATGATTTATTCGATTTGACGCGGAGGTACTGTTTGAGACGCAGGGAATCGTCTGTGAATTATACGATTAACTTATGCTCATTTGGGCTAACCTTAATATTTTCAAAGTTTTCGATTGAAAGTCATAATTTTCGTCTCTCCTGCATTAAGGCCATCGATTACTGAATTCGGACACACTGTCACGTGATTGCGTAACACCGCCAATGAAGATGCCACCCCCCCCCCCCCTCCTCGACCCACCTTGAAATTATTGACAAAACAGGGAGCCAATTATTGACCATATTATTTAATTAAATGTAAGTGAGCAAGTATTTTTCTCAATAATAAAGGGGCGTAATTTGAGCCACAGGTACATTCGCCTTTGCTCCAGGGGTCTGAGTTATTGTAACTTCGTAAAAGGATAATGGTGGCTTAGGAAGGTTGACACCAACCGCTGAGATTAAGTCCCAAGGGAAATAATCGCTTTTACAGATCTAGAGCATAGAAATCTATGCAGTAAAGTGTCAACTTGGGGTATGCGATAGACTTGCCTCCACATGATGCACTCTGGGCAACGTATACTCATACGGCAAAGTCTATTAACCGACAGTTGACTTCTCACTTCAAACTACAATGACCCTACTGTATGTCATATTCGACCACTTCAACAGTACTCATCTTACCTTCTCTGCATTTGTGTCCATCTGTCCCTTTACATCTGTGAATCACTCTTTTCCCACCTCTCGAATTTTTCGCACTATGATGCTCCTCTCCTCTGTGAAGTCCGAAGTCAGCTAAAGGGCAATGATAACTATCAAAACGTCTACCATTTGAAATTAATAAATAAAGTTTCAACTTTTTATTCAGCTACAAAATTTTGCTTAACAAACTTATGATCTAATGAATTAATAATTAAAATCAAAAAACGAATTGAATTAGTTGAAATAAAGTGGAAAATGCCAATTATGAAATTATAAAAGTCCAAGAAACAGAGTGCGGAAAATACTGTGCAATAAGGCAATCGGTAACTAGCACTTTCTTCCTCTAACACTGAAAGACTGAGTAATCAAATCTACTGTGAAATTTATTGCAAACAGAGACATAAAAAATACTCCCACATGAACGGGTCTGAATTCAGATATTCACAAATCTGTACTTTCCCCAGGGGGCTAAACCGAAGCAAACTGAAATTATCCCGCCATAGTTGTAAGAATCATTACCTGACTTAAATCCACCCCCCCCCCAATAACATCAAATTCAAGCAAACAGGCTTTCCCTTTAATTATGGAAACTGTAGAGTATCACAAAAAAACCTGCCGATCAATATGAATCCTCAATGCCATGACGACAGGCTATAATTTCTTCGCTCATCTAGTATTCATTCATTAATCAGTCTAAATGAGGTAAAATTTGAAATCAATTCTGCGTGTTTCCCACTACATTTTGTATGAGATCAAACACACATGGCAGAACATAAACTTACGAAGGGCAAAGGATTGCCGAATTCATCATGAGGCTTGTGGCAGGCAGAGATGTAGAATAGGTACTCAGTGAAGTGCTCCAAGCCAGTAACAGCGTAAGTTAGTCGGGGAGGAGCTCCGGCCGAGTCTTCACTCACTATCCCAACAACAGGTCCACTATTGTTGCTCTTTGGATCGTGCGGTTCTGCAGCCACTAGAATGGTCTTTTGTGTGGGATGTTGTTGCTGCTGTTCTTGGTCGCTTGAAGTGATGTCACGACGTCTTCGAACTGCAAGAGAAGGGGGAGAATAGAAGTTAGTGTGACATAAACGCGTAAACTGGCCACAATCTCCTAGTAGAGATCGCACTGACAACGTAGAAATGCAGATTGAGTATTTGCTTAAAAACAGTCCTAAAAAACCCCACCGATTATTTCCTAAATTTCATACATTCCATCGGGATGGTTCTTCTGACATGAATGTTCTACCTTCTCAAGTGACTTGGACCTTTTAGAAGCCTGTTGAGTTGGGCCGCATAATAACTACGCTCCACTAAATGTTCCACAAGAAAAGGTGAAACACGCATACTATTAATTGCATTATAGACTTTTCACTATCTCCATTGGCCGATTTTAGTTGTGGAGATTCATTCGGAATAAGAGAAAGAAATCAGAGTGGAATGATTACATTGAAAGTGATGAATGTGTTGAGCACTTTAAACATACCTCCCCCGCCCCCTCCCTCTAACCATTCCGCTTAAGATGATGACGAACTCTTTCAACGTCCCTCTCTCTCCCTCTCTCGTGGTGCAGGAGTAAAACTCAAGGCAACACAAATACCCTACTTCGTCTGATTTATCCATTAACTGCAGACAATTGCATAGCAAAATCGGTTGGATCCCACTTTAATCGATACCATCAATTAGTCATCGAGAAAATTTCCATTTTAAAAGATATGGAGTAGCTAAAGGAGAATATCAACCAAGGTCCCGCATCTCTGTGTCCTATTTAACAACTCTGATGCCAAAATACTAATTTTTATTATTCCTAAGCCCGCTAAGGAAACCGCTTTCCAACGTTGACCTTGCGCCTGTCCGTTCTGAAGCCCTCTCCCCCCTCCCCCCTAATTAGCAAGGCTCAACCAATGTGCCGTTGGCGATTCCAAAATTAAAAATAGAGAGGGAGAGAAAAAAAAGCAATTATTTATGATGAATCTCTAAGATGCCAAAGGAACGCAAGACTGAAGGCACAACAAAATGGATCTACAAAGACGGAGATAAGTTATTATTGAAATAAGACGTAAGGAGGTAGACTTACCGCTATGCAATCCAAAATCAAACATTAATTCCTCCCTACTGAATTGTTCCGGCAACCGTTGAATCCTAAATGAATTGCGAATCAAAAAGTTGGGATTAGTTGTCGCAGTCGGGGAGACAGTGAATACGGAGAGCTAATGGTAAAACCGGAGACACAGTAAAAAGAGGAAGGAGGGGAAATGGACGGGGGTGGGGGTGGGAAAAGGGTGGAGTTGGAGTATTATACTTGAATATCCGTTTAAAACCGCGATAGTGTGTATGTGATGAGTGTATTATGGGAGAGCAACAACAATACGTATAATGGTAGAAACAACAAGCAGATGGCAATAGAACATGCAGGAATGCCGTAAATATCGCGCTCACTAGAGAGGGACATATAAAAAGCACGGCACATTCAAATACGTAGAGGAGAGTAGAGTGCAGGGTAGGTGGTAGTTAATGAATCAACACACACGCACACACATACACGCACACATCAAGATGAAGATAGTGGTAAGGGGAAGGAAAAATAAGGAAATGAAGCAATACTACTGGTAGTAGGTAGTAGTAGAGTTGTACTCACGCCTCTTCCCAATCCATTGATGCAGAGTCTGGGAAGCTGTCGAATTCTACGTCGCTGAAACCAAACCGTTTGTAGAGGATGGGTTAGAGGACATATATATTATTCGCATAAAACAGAGTAGAAATGCATCTATATTTCATATAAGATTAGTAAATTACTACATATAATGAACAAAAAAAACAAAAAAACACGTAATAGTAAGAGAGGGTTTTGTGCGCGTATGGGATTTAAATTTAGTGATTAAGCGATGAGGGAAGGGGAGATATAAGCTGCAAGAAATTAACAGCCACATATTATAAGTAAGAAAAATATACAAAGCACAAATTTGCACAAGAATCATGCTATTGGTACAAATGATTATAAAGATGACACCTGCGTGCACACATGTATAAACGAGGGGAGGAGAATTAGGATGTTATGAATTAAAAAATCATTTAAACAAATACCGACAAGCAGACGTGAATTACACACCCCGAGTTAAGAGGGGGAACAAAAAATCTGTCTCAATGCGATCGGAGGTTTTAGTAGAACCTTCAATTCTTCTATGGCATGGAAGAAGATAGCGAGAAGATAGAGCACAGCCCCCATAGACAGAGCACGCAGACAGAGTTCCCTTGACAGGGATAATACTCAAAAGTATAAACGATCCGTATCTCATCTCGAGGAATTCTGAGTAATTAACAGAAAAATCGCACATACACACTGAGACAGAGCAGTACTGAATTCGATTTGAGTAGAAGTTATGAGTGCATACTGACTTCGATATCAAGCTGAAACCGAAAAAAAGCGGTTTGGGAAGGTTTGGAGGGAATGGGATGGAGGGAAAGGAATGGAGATTGAGAGCAGGAAGGAGGGCACAGGAGGATTCAAACATTCCAAAAAGAGGGCAACAATTGGAGGAGAGAGAGAGAGAGAGAGAGAGAAGGAAGATTAAATAAAAATACTTACCCCAGATCTCTTCTCGGTCGTTTTAGGTCAGGTGATCGTTGGTTTTCTCTTGAGTTGGGACTGTAGTAAAGTCAACACAGTACCAAACACACACCAACATACCAAAATAGGGGAGGAGGGGAAGGATTGGATATATGAAAACAGAGGTGGTGGTAGTGGTGGTGGTGGAACAATGGTATAATAAAAATGAAGAGGTCGAGGTGGAATGAAAAAAAAGAGAAAATGAATATTTGAAAAATGATCAGCGATACAACAATAATATTGTTATAGTGCAGTATTCTTCTAAACCACAGCTGATTTAATAACCTTATAAAATCGACCATTATATACGTTAGGACGCTTGAATTCAGTCTGTGACCAGACACCGCAGGGGAGAAAGCACTGCAAGCGTTTTGTCTAATGGTCAAATTGTTCAACATTACTCATGAGCATAAAAATTAGTTTTCTTGTTGAGGACAAAAATGTCAAACCCCAAAGAAGATGGCGAATACGTGAGACAGAAATTGGATGTCACTTTGCTTCCATCAGGGCTTGAAGGTCTGCAAGACTACTGCTAAGTTCACCACTAATATTTATGGTCAAGTGCCTCCCCCCCCCCTCCCNCCCCCCCCCCCCCCCCCCCCCCCCCCCCCCCAAGGTGTTAATGTTGGTTTAAAAGATTTCTGAAGAGCAATGGGAGTTTAGATTAAGCTCTGAAATCAGAAAAGCCTACAAGTTTGATGATCGCACAGTAAAATCCCCCCCCCCGGTTGAATCAGACCACCCGTTAACTATGAATGAAGTGTCACAGAAACTCACATATCCATGGCCGAATGTGCAATTGTAATTGAAGTGCCTTGGTAAAATAAATGAAACGGGGATTTGGAAGCTCCCGCGTCGAGCGTGTGGAGTTATTTGCTGTCTTGAAGACAAAGAATTCGTCCTTTTTTCAGCAAATTGCTAATGAGGCCAAGAAGTAGATCATTCAAGAAATCCCAAGCGGGAAACACAGTGATTGTGTCCAAAATCAAACACAAATTCCATCCCCCAAAGTCAGAGTAGACCCCCTCATTAAACTCCTCGGTGGAATTAACCCCTACGAATAGCTAGAACTCGTTCAGGGCCGCGTTTATCGTTGCCAATAATTGGGAAGTTAAAATCGCGAGTTTATTTCGTAGAAACACGACAATTCTCGGCAAAACAACGCAATAATGACGTTTCAAAATATACAGGAATTAAACATTAGAGTTACTACCCCATATCCTTCATAGTTGACAGATCTCGTCAAACCAACCAATTGTTACCTTTTCAGATCGATAAAATATATTCTAGGAGAAAAACAAATTTTAAACCCCTAGATTGAGTGTTTAGGTTTAAATACAGAAAATTGTTTGTTTCCTCCCAAAAAATGAGATCTAAAAATTGCAAGATCAATGAGAAGGAGTTGTAAATCATGATGATGATGATGGTAATGATGGAAACTGCAGCATACACCCCACCCCATATAGATAAATAACATTTAAAAGCGCAATTTCTTATTGGTACCTCCATTACATTTGTGATCATGCTCATGAAACTCGAAATTTAAGTGCAACATAAAAGTCGTTATTATAGATGGATGAGGAAAGCGAGAGATGATTACATGCTCAATTCTACCGGCAATTTTTGGCTCATTTTAACAATAGAAATGAAAAATGTGGGAAGGTGAATTGGATTTAAATCTACAAAAAGCATTTGGTGTTTTTATTTGTGAAATTTGAAAATCGTGAAAAGAAACCCGTATCTAATATGCAAAAAATATAGAAGCTTTTAATGTTCTTTGTTAAAAATAAAAGCAATGAACTTTTCTCCTGTTGTTTTTTTCCCCAATTTGACACACCCTTATGTTTGCCGTCTCAATCGATGGTTGAGCTTATGCGGTCTACTAGCCTCTACTATCTTTCCAAATCTCAACACCGCTAACTCAATTAGTACCTGGCATTGGATTGAGGCGATGAATTAGGCGGGGCCACTAAATCTCCCCCCTCCCCGACTTCGAAGGTAGTTTTGAGGACTATCATTCTATTGCAAAAATATAAAATCAGACTAGAGACTCACACTCGAGAAATGAGGATGGCTTTGTGAAGTTCATCCTCAAAACGAATCATCTCACGACGACAGAATTCTTCGGTGAGAAATTCAGTCTGTTTGGGTCCTTTGTTGGCGAATGAACCGCAGTCGTAATGTAAACCGTCGGCACCTGTCCGGTAGGAACCCTCATTAGAACTATTTTCATCGTTGTCTTTGACACCGCTTCCACCATCGTCGATTTTCTCCCCACTTTTACTTGGAGAGAGCTCATTGCCAGAGTACTGATGGAAATGAACTGGAAGGATATATGAAAAGTTATTAGTAGCAATTTTTTGTAAAAGCAAGCATACAAAGATGATCTACCAACTGGTTGATTTTTTTCAAGCAGGTGGATGTTAAGAGGACTGTATGAAGACGAACGACCTATGATGTCACGAGAACCCAATGAAAAATAAGATTAGGAAGCGATGAGACAGGTTTCATCAAACTCTAACTATGAGCAGTCGTTCTAAAGTCCATATGAAGTAAGGTTCTGCTAGACCCTTGACTTACTTTCCTATAGCACCTAATCCTCCTCAAAAACGAAAGGCCAACCCCTCTTTATCCCGAGTGCTAGCCTCTATCAACTGTCGGAATTTTTCGCTGTGAAATAAAGTAAAGACGCGGCAAATAAGTAATAATTAAACTTTTTGCATCATGCATGAAATTATAATCAAAGACGCCAATAATTAAGCCACTAGAGTTCAAGCAAATGAATTCCACAACTTGGGCTAATGAAACAAGGAAATAAATTTTTGTCAGTCATACAAAAGACCATAAAATAATAAATGGGAGGTGATGGAAAAAATGTTTCTTATCACGTCGAGGTAACACAAAAAGTTTCACTTCATTGAATTTCATGATGGGCGTTACACAATATTTACTAAAGAGGTAGCTGGCTACACTAAATTCAGACTTCATGGCTTGTACATGTTATTCAGTAATTAATAGTTTTTTTTAGATTCAGAAGGGTGGGTCTTACCGCGAATATACATTTTTTTCTTCCGGTTATTGAAAAGATAAATGGACTAACGTGATTCACCACAGTTCACAGTTCTACTATAGCTCAAATAAGGGAGGTAACATGATTAAGTTAATAGACCTCCGTAAGCTGCGTTCACGCAGGGAGAACGTTTGCGAATAGTTAGGCAAGTAGGTGCAGCTTACGTACTCACGATGAGAATATGTAAATAAATGCAGAATGAATGGAAAGCAACTCTCTTTTGAAAATCTCCCAAATCTTTAAATGTGCAAACTCGAAAGTTGGGGAAAAAACATGAAAATGAGGTGCAAAGCAAGCGAAAAAATGTTCAGATCAGTACAGAGACCGTAAAGGAAAATCAAACAAAATTGAAGTCATTATTTCCAAACGGAAATTGGAGTTTTCTATGAAACTGAAGCGAAATCTAATCCTTTATCCCCAGCCTAATTACTTTTTCGGTCAATTGAAAATTGTCTTCGTTTTAATCAAGCATCTGAGTGAGTAACAATGGCCTATCGATTTAGGTGCATATTTACAAAGTGCTTTGGAAAATATCGATTATTTTAGCCATATTGCCCCCCCCCGTACCTTATGACCGTTTTACTCATTATTGCCTATTATAGTTAATTACGAAGGAATAAGATAACTTACTATTATAGCAGGCGTCACTGGAGAGAAAGTCACTCCTTTCCAAGGGCATTGGCTTATAATGAATCTTGTAGAACACAATCATGCCATTTGGACGATCGGGTGGACTCCAGAGTAATTGGATAGAAGTTGGATCAATGGATACTGCATGCAGATATCTTGGTCCAGACGGAGCTAAATTGCAGAAGACGAATTGAGATTTTTATTATAGAATAATGCGCTCACAGAATTTAAAACCAACTGGGAGTGAGTCGTAATGTGATTGGTTTACATCTCTTTCTGCCCGGATTTTGTGCACATGTCGCAAATATACCCGGTCACCTATTATCCAAATGGAATCTGTGCGGCTACTAGGTTTTTTATAATTAATTTGTCTAACCCGTCTAACCATAACATCCATTGACAGCTAGAGTAATTAGAAGAGAAGCGAGTAAATATACCTATAGAATAATTAATAAGCCTTATTCAACCTATTTCCCGGTTTTAAAAGTTGGTTGCCTTCAGTGAATCTGAGGTTTAATGGTTAGCAGTCCGACACTGTGGAAAGTACAATGATTAAAAGGGAGTTCAAATACGATAAAAGGAGCGAAATAAAACACAGTAAATAAACCTAACTAAGGCATCTTAATCTAGTGGTGACTTTCCCAAAATTTGAGAGATAAATAAATACTGCTATATTGGGGCTTCATGTGGTAAGCCAGCGCTTCGATACGATTTGTTTCTTCCACCCCCCTTGTCACCAATTGTGATTGTTACAATAGACTAAGATGTGATTCAGACGTTTTCATAGTGGGTCTTCAAGGAATGATTATTTCAAATAAGTTCATCATGGGACTTAATTTGCTAGTAAAAACAGGGGTATAGGCATAATGTCTACTAATAAAGAGATCACGCACTTGCGGGCTTAGTAGTGAAGTTGAAGCGTCCACTTTGGGCTCCCTCGTGCTTGACAAGCGTCGCTATGGTGATATAAGCTGAGTAGGAGGTAGCAGGTTGTAGGTTGTCGAGGGTACATGTGATAAATTCTTCAGCTGCACTTGAGGCGTTGGGTGTTACTGGTGGATACGAGGGAAAGGGAAAACCGACCACTTGAGAAGCGGGTGATTGGCAGTTCAGCTCTGCTTCGTTCCAACTGAATGGCAATAAAAGAGACGATTTAAAGGGGAGGGGGAAGTGATGATATAATTAGCAGATGTGATGGTTGTGGGAGAGAGAGAGAGAGAGAGATCTAGTCTCATTTACTTAAAATACCTCAAAGTGACGTTAAAGAGGAAACAGGGCGCACTAAAAATTCATAAGAGAGAGAGACACTTGAAATCCGTTCATGTATTTTCTATGATGAAATTTGATAAAAAAAATTGTAAGAGTGACAATAAGCCAATTAAGGAAATCTAATTTTATATTTCAGCAACTATGTCAACTCAAATGTAGAACCTTTCCAATAAAAAGTGTTCAATATCCACTCAGGCCTCGAGGGTTTGGAACGGACTCGAAGGATTGTGATTAGGTAATGCATGAATAATACCCACGTTCATAACTGACCAATATCCCGCTTACTTTACCAGTGAATGCCATCCGATTCCAGGTGGATAATCTTGACCGAAATAAATCCCATGAATAGAAACATGGTTAATAATTTATACACCACAGAGATTTTCACTTCACAGAATCTCCGCATAGTCCAACATATGTAATATTTAAAGCAACACATTATAGACTTTCCAACCCATTAACGTAATTAAGGCGTGTATTATGTAGTTGCTACATAGCAACCATTGCACGTCTAAAAGCTGAAAGAGAATTACGCAAAAACATTGAAAGGAGTGCGAGTTAAAAAAGAGAGGTGGCTTTATAAATTGTATCAATTCCCGTGTTAGTTAACTTTCCACCCATCAGATAGGATGGAAGGCAAAATTTATTTACAGAAAATGGCGGGCGTTTTGATAGTTATCATTAGCCCTTTAGTTGACTTCTGACTTCACCAAGAGGAGGAACATCAAAGTCACAAAAAGTCGAGAGGGGGAGCAGAAAAGTGTTTCAAAGATGTAAAGAGATAGACAAAGGTAGAGAAAGGGGTGGAAGTGGTCAAACGTGACATACAGTGGGGTGATGGTAGTTTGAAGTCAGAAGTCAACTGCCAGTTAAAAGACATTTTTGTCGTATGAGTATGGTGCCCAGGGTGCACCCCGTGATGGAGGGTCTATTGACCACATAGTCTATCTCCAAGTCCTTGCCTACATTTTTCCCCTTTTTACGCCATATAAAGTATTAGTAGTAGTAGTATTAGGTGGTCAATGAAAACATAGAATAGATGCACTTGTAAAAAAAGGAATGAAATTGAAATAGATTTCAAAAAAGAGGAGAAATACCCACTTCTTCTAATCCTGCCAGTTTCTAATCAAGGAAAAGTATCCAGATATGGGAGCACAATGAAATCGTATCCCCTATCATATTCATTTTTCTGACAGTATCGCTGGTGTGCGATATTCAAATTACCAATAAATTCTTAACCTCCATTCAATTCTTTGGCGTGTGTAATTCAATTCGACAGAGATACTATTAGAAGTAGAGTGTGGAGATTTAGAAATAATCATAGACAGTCATCCAAATTCAAGTGGATTAATTTGGTTTACATTTAACCCAAACACTACGCTAGGCACTATATTCGAAATAAGTCTCAGCATGTATTATTTTAACCACGGCTGTAGTTTTATTTTGGTTTCTGCAGAAAGAAAGAAATGTGGAAGCATCACTGATCATATCTGCGGCTGACTCCTGAGTTAATACCATTTTCACCCCCACCCCCCGATTTTCTGTATTTTCGCTTAATTAAGAAGTTTAGGCGTCAATGCAGTTCAGTAAGAAGGCTCTGAGGAAGCATAAGTCGTCTCAGGCTTTCGAGAAACAGTGCGATTAGACGCTGGAAGAGGGGGGGGGGCTCTAATTGTAATAAAAAAGGCACTCGCCGGAGTGGCAAGAAAGAATGACAATACTGCAGCTTCGAGAGACAACTGCGAATGGCCTAGCGAAAAGGTCGTTGTGCTTAGGATTGATTGAAGAACAGGAAAGATGGGAAATTAGGGACTTATTTGGAGAAAGTAGGAACTTACGCGCTATCACAGAAAGTGCGGTCGTGCATATCTCCATCGCAGTCCAAAGCCCGACTATCACTAGATAAAAAGAGGGGGAGGAAAAGCGTTATAAAATGTGAAAAAAAGGGGACAGTTGAGTCAGTTTATGTATGAAAGCAACTCACACTCGACCATAAGAGATGATGGCTGGAAGTATGATGCGGGGATCATCGCAAGTCATCCGATTCATGCGTAGGTTTACGCTAGTCTGAAATGCATCTGTCACCGTCACAGAAAGCATTTTTGCGTTGCCTATGTAGAAGTGGGAAAGATAAATTAGAGTAGAGTAGGACACAGAAAAGTTGGCAGTACCACCAACATCTCTGTTTACCTCACTGAGACTATCGGGTCAAAACACTAAGATATGATGTCAGTAGATTGAATATGGACGTATAAGGCACTTAATGATGCATTAAGGGGTGCTCGACAGACTAACCCCTACGTGGCGCACCATGGGCAACGTAAAGTCATAAGGCAAAATGTCTATAAACCGGCAGTTGACTTCAAACTGCCATGACCCCACTGTATGCCATATTCGAACACTTCAACAGTACTCTCCTTACCTTTTTTCTACCTTTGTGTCTGCCTGTTTCTTTTATATCTGTGAATCACTCTTCTATTCCCCCCCCCCCGACCCTCTCGACTTTTGTGAATTTATCTGTTCTTCCTCTTGGTATAGCCATAAGTAAACTAAAGGGTCGATGATAATTTTATTTTTTTTGACAAGTAAATAAATGATGCCCTTCACATAGAGAGGCCATTGGTCAATCAATCGCCCAAGAGTTAGACAGACAGGGTTCACATGCTCAAAGCGGTGGTGAATAGGAATAGATATCACACAATGAATGGGATAATTCGACTACAGATCAAAATGAATAGTGGAGGAGACTTCACATATGGTTGGCAAAGTAGAATTCCATGCATGACGTATCAGTATAGTAGTGGTGCTATTTGGTAGTAACGGTATGAATGATTTAAAAAAACTGACCCTATGTGACAGCATGCAATCCACACAAGTCAACTTGGGGTAAATTTGATTAAGTCTGTTATAAAACACTCAATGTAACCCCGGACATTGTGGACATAAATCCAGTTAGGAACCTAGAGATAATCACAAGGCAAGACAAGGAAAACAAAAGTATAGGCGAAAGTTGAGAGCACTTACAAAGTGCAAATTCACCATTCGAGGTGCCAATGAGATCCAACTCTGCTGGATTGAGTTTTCGTCCGTTGGCAAAGGTGACACGATTTTTCATGAAACCTCGGATCTTGTCTGGGCAAAGACGATAGTTAGCACTAAATTCCACACTGCCCGAGTGGATTTTCAATTTGACGGAATCAGAGGTCGGGAAAAGATCTTCCAAATTTACATTCCACGTTACTTCCAAGGCGATTCTAATAAAAAGGATATAGAACACAAGCATAATTAATAGGAGATCTTCCCTAATTGATGCATAAAAAGGCTATATAATTATTATGCCAACCAAGGGGATCGATCTTTGGAAAAAAAACAGCAGCTGCTAATCTACAGGAGGAATTGAATCTGCCTAGAGAATACTATAATGAGAAGAACAACGGCTGAAGAAGGTCGAGAATATCCGGAAGATATACTAAATCTTATAGAAGTTGGAGATAAGTGATGGGAAAATAGAAAAATTGCTTGAATATTTAAGTAGAGAGTGAATTTTCACTCATTCCAACAATAAAAACACAGGATGTAAGTATCATTGTACGGGCATAATGGGGAGGGGGGGGGGAGGGGGAGGATAAAGAGTCATTTAATTAATCTTATTATTGACAGCGATAAAGTGATTAAATGAGCTTTGATTGTGGGTTAGGAAAGAGTAAAAGGGAGGGAGTGCTAGGAAGATGCAAAGCAAAAGGATTACCTGTTTTATTTGAACTCTGAAAAACATTAGATAGACCAGATTTTCAGAAAGAGTATAGTTTACTACATATTGTCTTGATATTCAACTTTAATGAGTAGGCATCCAGCCACGTGAGCGAGATCATCCCCTTGATAATCAAAGTTTACTCAACCGGTTATTTACCATGTCATCTCAATTTATTTATTGATTTTTACGAAGGATAATCAAATTGGACTGGGAATGGCTTTCAGCTAAGTAGAATTCGATAATGCTCACTCAAAAGAAGTCACCGATCACGAATCAGGAAGGAGAGGAATATTTGTTTTCAGATCTTAAATCTTCCGAATTCGCTATTTTGTCGCTCTCCCCCCCCCCCCATCCCTCCTTCCCTCCCTTCGACACTTGTAACATTGAAAACAATCCCATTATCTTAAACACATATTGGCATACAAATTGTAAGTTGATCAAACACCTATTATGACAATAACTTCAAACTTACAAAATCCGCAAAATCTAACAAAAGAAGAGGAGTCCAAGCAGAGGGAACAAAAATATGGGAGGGAATATGTGACGATTCAATATTAAATGGCAGGAAATTAAAGGCATGAAAATTGAAGGAGTAATTTAAAAAGTAACTTGATCTCGCCAAAAGTAAAATTCACGTAGTATTTGAGTAAGCTTTGTGAATAATGAGGAGAAGGTGTAATATCATGAAGTAGCCTTGAAATACCCTGTGAGCCAAATATACGGGGGCTCAGAAATGCACCATGGAAAAGAGTTGACGAGGAACTCGACCTCTTCTAAATAGGCGACAATCTCATTATTATAAAAAATAAAAGAAAGACGGCTTCGATGGAGGGTTATATAGAGAAAGACGATATAACGGCGGATCAAAATATCGTGGATGGCTGGTAGTGAGAGTTTCTTAGAGGAAAGACTCCAGAAAATCTTTCCTCCGTGGAAATGTTGGAAACGTTTTTTTCTTTCAGAATGAGATTGGTCAATATCTTCTAGGCAGATGAATCAATGACACACAATTGCACTTACATTCCATGAGAAGAAGAAGAAGAACCCAACGAGGTGGCCAAGCCCTCCTTGCTACTGGTATCGGTGCCGTGAATAGTCCTCAATCTGCGCAAGAAGGAGAGGGAGAGGAGTGCATCCGAACGAATAACTCTCAAAGACCGGTAGATAACTCGAAGACTGGAAAAAGCATCAATCAGGGCAATTGAAAGATCATCTAAAAATAAGCAAAATAAAACTCACTATGATGAACTCGTGATTTGGCATTTAATATCCAGAATCGACAAAATGAAAGACAATAACGTGACCTAAGTGAGCTGATAGCGTATGTCAGCGGTCATTCCCACTTTGTATGATTTCGACAGTAACGTAGTACAGTGATCTACTGGCTTAACGTGGTCAAAAGAAGGGAAATGCTACTCCTTCAAAGATGAGTACCTGAAGCACATCCATTGAGGTCTATCTCGTGGAAAAGGTAGCACATGGTTCATTCTTTAGACTCGTTTACGTTGATTGACCATAAGCATTCACTGCGCGGTTGACTCATCATAAATATTTGCTAAGGCAACACCAATGAGTGAAGTAAGTTGACCTTAAATCTACACCATGAGTCATCGAGTAACCTCAATTGCTTTAAATGGCCCGTGTGTCGATGTTAACAGTTTAACTCAGCATACTCGATGTAAATTTGTTTTTGTTAAGCCCAAACGCCACTAGAGAAAGGAAAGTTTTTTGGGAGTGATCGCAAAATCGATAATACTCACTTTCTGGACACTTCAAGTCTTGAAAAAGCCAATGCCGGTAACAACTTACATGATTTTGGCAGACGCATTTTTTGTCTCCCTTAATCCCAAAGAAAGCGAAAAGGTAGAAAGCAAGAAAAATAAGAAGATTTCAAACCCCACTGACCAAATCTCCCCCCCCCCCCCCCAACTTTCCCAATGTAAGTTCTTACGCTACTAATCAACTTGACTACATTCTACAATGCATACTAATCTCATAGTCATAGATAAAAGATGTAAATTGATTGAATTAAAAAAAATGAGGACGTACCTTGTCCGGTTCTAATACTGATTAGAACCGATCGAGCTGTGACACAGTCCTTTACGGAGGCCAGGTCAGCCTGTTGATAGATAACAATATCTCCACAATCTAGCCGAGGAAGGAACAAAAGGGTCAACAGTTAGCACGCAAATCTAAACGGGGTGCATGTAAGGACATGCCTTGAAGCGTAAAAAACAACAACAATCCCTAATAATGATACTCCGCTCATAACCTCAAAGAATGTGCAAGCTGTTGAACACCTACCTCGCTTAATTTGTTCACAGTCAGGTCCACAGCGAACGCAGGTACCATCAGAGGACCGACGGTGACCTACACCGCAGACGGGCACGCAACTGCGATTCTGTATTGAGAAGGTAATTGGCCCATCGGAATCGTAGTAGTGTTGGAGAGCATGAGGGAGCATAGCCTCTGGTACCCGTTTTGAGAGACACACCTCGCGTGTCACGCAGTATCGACCATGTAGCTGTAACAAATGAATGATGCTCAAATTTCATTACACATGGGAATATAATTTACCCTTTAGGTCTTTTAATTGCTCGTTCTTTGAGTGTAAAGGGAAATTCTCTGCAGACGCAATTCGTAGAAGGAAAAATACTCCCCCCCCCCCCCCCCCCCTCCCATTATTCACACAAATCAGATCTATTAGACCATTTTACTTCTTATTGGAGCATTTTTCGGTTTATCCAAGTTTGCATAAGGCGAACCATTTGCTCAATTTATACACTGATGAAACAGAAATACGATACCTGGCCTATTCGAGGTTCAGAACAAAGATTAGGGCATATGGAGGATAGAATTGAACGTTTCACTAACGAAAGTTACTTCCAATGATCATTAGAAATTATTGCGACCTCTGATCGAAGAACTCTCATTTACCATGCCTTTATCTGAAACCGTCCGAGTTTAATATTTCGGTGAACCTGATCGAAGTTAAGATTTTCCTAAGCTCGTGGCCTTAAGTCGGAACTCCTCACTGCTAAAGTGCTAGCCAAGAATTAGAAATACAAACTAACGCGAGCAATTTAAATCAAACCTTGTGAATGCCTTCATGGTAGTTGGAAGGTAAAAATTATTAGGAGGATTTGACAAAATTCACAACACATAAATGCTTGCTCATTAACAGTTCAAACTATAACACTCCCAGTAGAAAAATGTTCGACAGCATGGTGGAAAAGACGGCGGAACAATTCATTTGAAGAGCAAGAAGGTGTGAAAAGCAAATTCGTAAGCATCACAAAAAAGGGGGGGGGGGTCGTTTTTACCACTTATTTACTTAACCTATTCACACTAAAAAATGATAAAATTTATAGTTAGCATGTGTGGAAAAAAAATCTTCACACATGCGAATGAGAGAAGTGTAATCGATAGATAAAGTACATGTAATTGCACAAAAACAATTGTATTCGCAACCGAAGCTTTGGAATTGGTCTTGAGGGAACTATTTACACTGTTCCAGCAGGTATCACAACCCCATGTTAAAAAATAACATATTTCTTTATTCTGTTATTAAAAATAAATAGGAACTGGCTTATTTATTGAAAATCTATAAAACGGATGTCAAAATGCACCTTCGCGTTTCGAGATAAAACGATATCAAGTACCACAATCGAAAGAAAAACCATGACAAATTCTATGCAATTCAACAATTGCAAACATGTGCGAATTCGGAGACAATTTATGTAAACCAGATGTGCACCGAAAGCCATCTAACCTATTATGAGACATGATCATAAATAAGAAAGCTTTTAAAAATAACTAAAAACCACAACGTATGCGCCCTGATACAAGAACATAATGGAATATGGCCAGGTATGATCAAATCAGAAGTTTAAAGCAAGTAAAATAGGGAGAGAGAGAGAGGAATTACCCCATATAATCCATCCGGACAGCTTGAAAGACATGTGTTATTGTAATGAAAGTTCCGACAAATAAGGCAGTCGTCAGCCGTTGGGCCGGTACAACCACCCAAACAGTTAGAATGGCAGCATTCCCTTGTGTTATGCACCGAGCAAGTCAGACCATTATCCCGGCATTTTGATGAGCAGACTGTAATGAAGAAATAAATGAAAACGATACGATCTTAAAAACTTGAAAGAAATAGGCGAAAGCTTACTATACTGGCAGTGTTCTCGAGACCAACAAAACGATCTTGGAAGATTGTTCATTGTAATCCATTTACAATTCACTGGACAAGTATTCGCACAGAGATCGAACAAACCATCGGCATTAAGCAGTCCTCGACTCAATGGATTACTTTCATCATTTCGTTTTTCAATGGTCAAATTTGTTATAAGTGACCGAGAGTCTATGAGGGAGGATGAAAGTAGATGCCAACCGACAGTGTCTGTATAGCACATTTTGGGGTTATCAATAAGCAGGACACCATGTCTGCCTATGACTCGGAGACAGCGAAGTCCAATACCTGAGAGGGCAGTGTGATGAATTAGAATATCAAAGGAGGGCATGGAAACTTTGCCGCCAAAGAAAGGTGAATCAGGTAAAGGAAGAATTCCGTGAATAGCCACGAGATTAGGGAGAAAATGGGAGAGATCTTCACTACAACTGGAATGCTCTATTGTCAATGAACCAAGAATTTCAAAAAGGTGCGGAAGACTCTGTCCATCGGAACCACATATAGCATTTGACAATCCAGTGATTATTAAATTCCCAGTGATAATTGTACAATTGGAAATGGCATTCAATGAGTCCGGTTGGTTTAAATCCAAAACATAGCTTGGACATTCTAAAAGATAGACATGGAAAAATAGATATAAAATAATAAGTGAACTATTGCAAAACTGGATAACGAAAAACAGTGATCGAGAATTTAAGGTAAATAAAAGAACGGCATTATTACACATACAGAATCATCATTCAACTTGTTGGAATTAATTTAGAGAGGGTAACTCACCCAATTCTTCAATATCCTTCGGAATAGCACAGTCATTTTCCGTGCCAAAGGTAAAAAATACATTTATGAGTAAAAGCATAAATGTAGAACTAATAAAATCGGGCCCCATTTGAATAAAATCCGTGAATCAAGTCAGAATATCCATTTTCCGATCACAGTGACATAAAAATACTTATCACAAAGAATATCAAAATAAACTGGCGCCTAGCGTCAATGATTGTCAATTAGAACATTAAAACACAATTATCTGATTTTATTTATCATGAAAAAAGTTTAAAATAACCGTTGTTATCGGTTTTACTATACATTTATTAACTAATATAACATTTAATTTAATTTATGAATATGTTTTAATAGAATCTATAAGTCGTTAAAATGAAAACTAGCATTGGGGCTTGATTTTTGTACCATATTCGATTGACAAAGCATAGAACTTTCTTTGTAATAAATTCTGCATTCCGGCTACATCACAATGTCTGATTTATATTTAGCTAATAATTCAATATTTCCGAAGCACTGTAAGCATTATTTATAAAGCTATTGAAATAAAAACAATAAACTTTAGAAATCTTTTTTAATGTTAGATCGCGTTATTTGATAGTTGAAATGTCATTTATTTTCAACAATATAGCGATGAAACGAATTATTACGTAAGTTGATTTCATGGACAGGTATATCTCCACAGTAAATGTGGTGACCTATTAACATTTATTCCTAAGCCGAAATTAGCATTCTGCTTGACTTATACTCGTAATTCAAAGCGTGTTTCCCAAATAGCCACAAATTGTCGATATATTTGAAAAAAATTTAAAACTACATTTAAACAGCATCTGCAAGTAAAAATATGACATTTTAATAATGCCTTACCAAAAATAAATATTATACATTGAGTAAAAAACAGTGAGATCATTGTTAATCAACATCACCTTACCTCTGAAATTTAGGCATAATAATGCATCCGACTGAGTATCTCCAAAATGTTCTAGCAAATTGATCATACTCATAATTAATCGAATTTCTTATTCGCCGAAATAGTGACGTAAGTACCGTTAAAATTAGCGATACAGTGTATCACTCTTTACAAAACTCGGAACTTTAGTTTGTATTACGTCAGGATATTACTGAAATATAGTTTATTTCATTTATTTATATGTGTCCGCTTTATCGGGCATACCACGCAAAAATATGATTATTCACTATATAATATGAATCAATATTGTGATATTTTTCATATGCTTCTATGGATCCTCTAAACTATATATAACTACTACAAAAGCAATCTCATACACATGAATCAGTTAGTAAACTAGTTAACAGCTCGAAAACCAAAAATGTCTATCATTTCGACCATTGAATAGAATACCATCCCTAAGCACCAAATGAATATTTTCAGCTACCATTACTAGTAAACCTCAAATATATTAAGCATTCAATATCACGTTATGTATATGAGGATAGATAAGTAAAGTAAAATACCCGTGTTGAAATAGCGGAGTTCATTTCGTTTCAAACCAGATATAAAACCATATCAGTTAATGTATTTCCGGAATAAAAGTATATAAAGAAATGTAATTATATTTGACAAATATGATAACTTTTCATTAATGTGGTATAATTAGAAAGAGATAAATATTAAATTGTTTAGGCCAACTAGGTGCACCGGTTAGCATAAACCAGACGGCTCTCCGAATTAACCTCTCAATGTTCGTTTTGATCTTGCTTCCAGTATGGAGATATAGAGGCCCTATGGTCCCTCTATAACATCTTTAAACAATTCCGCCTGTTTTACTGTGCTTCCGCGCATTAGGACGGGCATAACGGAAATATTGTTTCATATTATTAGGCTTCCCAAATCACCATATCGTCCAATGTATTTATATCTGCAGCATTATAAAGCGAAAAATCGTGGGTAGAATTCCGGGCAGCCTCCTTAAATTTCCAGAAGTAAAATTGAGACAAAAAGCGAAGCCCTGGGCGAATATACACTTCGTATGTGGGCTTGAATAAGACCCATTTAAGGTAACTACTGGAGCATTCTAAAATAAAAAAAAATTGGCAGAAATATCGAAAAGTATATAATATTGGTAAAGGAAGCTAAAATAAATACCAGTTTGCAATCAAAATCCCTTTTAAATAGTGTCCTACAGTGTAGTATGGCTAGATGGCCACTGAAATAAAACTACTTTTGCGATAAGGTTTTGACATTTTCATGCATTATGGAACAGTGCATTTACTTCAAGGTTTGAGGTAAAACTTTTTGCGGTCTGCCATCGAAGACTAAGGAAAGAGTTAATCAAAAGTAGTCATTTCAAAAAATACAGCAGTTTGTAAGAAAAGTGTTATAATTACTGGAAATTTCTTGCAATATTCGTATTTTAATTTAGCATCGAATCTCAGTTAAAGATCGGCATGATTTAGTGGCAAGGGAATATTTTTTATTGAGTCTATTGACACTGAAAGCTGAAGTTAGTATGAACAATCTTCCGAACATTATACAAACAATTCAAGGTAAAAATGGGTCAATTGAGAGCCAATAAGAATCATTCAAGCTAACGTACCAAGCGAACCAAATTTTAATTAACAAAACTCTAAGTTAAAATACAATTTCAAGCATATAAGAGGATCGGTTTCGAAACGTGCTTATTGTTGATAATATATTTACATCAAATGGCAGGCTTTATTTTAGTCATCATTAGCCTTTTACCTGAGTTGGGGCTTCACAGAGGGGAGGAACATCAACGTCATAAAAAATCGAGAGGGGGACAGAAGAGTGATTCGAAGATGTTAAAGGAAGACAGATACAAAGGTAGAGAAAAAAGGTAAAGTAAAGTGGGTACTACGTAAATGGGGGAATACGACATAGAGTTTTAAGTCAGAAGTCAACTGCCGGTTTATAGCCTTCTTGTCATAATAATATACGTTGTCCAGGGTGCACCACGTAGTGATAAGTCTTTCGCACACCCCTGCTGTGGACAATTTGAGAGTAAAAATTAGTACTACACAATGTAGCAATTTAAGTAGAATATGTTTCATGTCCTACAAGGTAAAAGTTGTGCATATCCAAATGTGCAAATAGGAAAAAATTAGCATTTAAAGATATTCTTAATTGTTGCATTAATGAGTTTTGCACTTCCCAACGTTTGAATCTTTGATTAATATTCGACTCATTTGAAAGAGGGGATCCAGTACTCTCATGATGTTTTTCATCAAGTTATTGGGTAACCCACCTGCTTCCACAGGATCTAGTTTAATCATATTTTGGAGGCTGTTTATCGTATTTAAAAACATTGGCTATCTTTTGTTTGAACCAGCTTCATTTTGCCATTAATTTATTTGGGGTGCACTCTCCTTAAAGATATCGTAGCCATCACTAATAAGTAACACCTTGAAACTTGATGCGTGTCTTATGAAGAACAATTACAGGGAAAACTACCTTCATTAAATCCCTTAACTAATTAATGGCAAAATTATAAAGAAAATATGACAATATTATGTTAGGAATAAAAATAAGTTCTGATGTGGAAACAATTCCAGAAGTTAATCAAGGAATAGTGTGATAAGGGCTTAGTCAAATTTCTGGAAAGAATAGTAAAAATTGATCTCGTTTAGATCAAAATCTAAAGTCGCTAAAGTCTATTAACTGTCATTTGACTTCTGACTTCAAACTACCATCACCCCACTGTATGTCATTTTCGACCACTTACACCGTACTCATCTTACCTTTTCTCTACCCTTGTGTCTGTCTGTCTCTTTTGCATCTTTGATGCACTCTTCTGTCATCCCCCCCCCCCCCCCCCGACTTTTCTCATTTTGATGTTCCTTCCACTGTGTGAAGTCGAAGTCAACTAAAGGGCTAATGACAACTATCAAAACGGCTGCCATTTGATATAAATAAATATTTTTTCATCATTTGATTACATCTTAATTAATGGAGTATTCAACAAAGAAAATTGGATGATGACCCGTTCGAAGCCAATTGTATTACCAAGGGATATGAAGCTGTCCTAACAAATTTAAACAAACATGCACAACCACGTAACAGTTGCAATCAGCCAATAAACTTTGAAGTTCATTGACAAAATCACATTCATGAATAAGGGGGTCAATTAATGAAATCGGAAGGATACAACATTGTTGTTGACAAGACAAACCCAAGCCCTCCGTTGATAGAATCAGACTGACTCACCTGCAAATGCGCCAGGATAGACACGACTAAAGGGGATCAGTCAATACGGAGGCATCTATAAAATTCTCAACACCGATGAGTCAGTTGCTTAATAGATCCATAAAGAGAAGAGCGCACAAAATTTGATCTGGTGGAAGATAACCTGAAGTCGATACTAAGATTAACTCTCATTCTGTCACTTCCAGTTGACCAGAATTACATTGGTAGTAAATATAACTAAATGGGAGACGTGCACTTTAACTAAGCGTCATCGAAATAATATAATATGGGTTTCGCCAACCCACTACTTCTACCACACCAGAGTTATTTAACTTTCCCAGACAATGCCTTCTCTAGTGTGCAGATAACAATTAATGACAAAAGAAGAGAGCGTAGTAATGAGCAAGCAATAGCTACAAGAAGGCATAAGTGAACAAGCATGAGGGGGGAGGGGGGAAGACCAAATGACCATTGAATATCGCATCATCATTTGTTTATCCATCAAGAAGGCGGGGATATAGTAAGGGAAAAGATTAGGATGGGATGGGAGGTTAGGCCAAGTAGTTATACTGATCAGCATCATTCGGGTTGCGTTCCAAGTAGCCTTTCTCAATCAAATCTTCAACACAACGTTTAACAAGAGGAAGAGGGGGTTTGAAACGATCACTGGCCTCCACCATAACACACTTCACCAATTCGGCATGGCCAATTATTTTCCGAGCCTTCAAGATGCGCACAATGGCAGCCTGGAGGAAGAATTTGCGGTCCTCGTGAACTTGTTTCTCCACTTGTTCGACTTCCTCCTGAAAAAAGAAGAACTTAAGTAAGAATCTCAATATAATTAAACAGCTGGTGTAGTCAACATCACGTGTTGCTCACCTTTGAGCCTGGTGCAGCGGCTGAGTTGAGAAGAAGTGCAGGGTTGTAGAAGAACTTAACCTTTGAGTGACGATTTGTATAGGCCCGGTTCAATGCAACAATTACAGAATCCTGTAAGAGAAAAAAATAGATACATGTACCATAAAAGTCACATTTTAAAAGCAACTGATGCGCGCTTAAGAAGGCCTTATAAATAATTCGGTTTTTAGGGATAGTTCGTTAGAGTAAGGGGCATTAATGTGATAGCATACAATAATTGGGCATAAAAAGGACCCTCAATCATGTAAATTCCAATTGTTTCCATATTTCACTCTGCCCTTGAGACCAACGAATGTTTTCAGTATTACAGTGATTCATGAAATCATCTAGTAATGTCATCCAAAGCACCCGTTTTATAAACTTCAAGTTGAACAACAACACCAAAATAAGTTTCTGCGGTAGAGCTAACATTGCTCCTTAATTATCACTCCTTAAATTAATTTATGAGGGCATTTGACGTTGCCTTCTGCACTAAATATTACCGAATTTTTTTCATTAAGAATTAGCTGAACCCTACCTGGGCTACGCTCAACTAATCTGAGCTGCACCGAAATGCAGGTGGTGAGAGTACCGTGCGCATCCTGACTGATCGAGCGTATGCAGTCCGATTGATACAATTCGTAAACCCCGCACTGGTAGCTACAGGTCATTTCATCCCTCCCTCTCTCTCACCCCCTCTCAGCAAGTAGATTAGATTTAATAAGACCGCAATTGATGTATGCATCACCTTTCCCTATTCTGTTGTCGGAGTGAAAATTGGCAGGAGATAGAAGACAGTCTGGAAGATAGGGGAAAACCTGAAACAATAGAAACTAGTCCATCCTCCAAAATTTGGGATGGAAACATAAAATTAGCGACAGTTGATTATTATCGGAAAATCCAAGGCACATTTTACGATCTACAAGTCCATATCCTAGCTAGGCAGTCGGAAAATGTAAGTAGCTCAAATATGGCGCCGACACGACAAGCATAGATCGTCCAGTCTTTATCACGCTCTTTGGTGGAAAACATTTGAAAAATTATTGCAGTCTCGAAGACTTTTCACAAGCAAATAGGCGAGAACTGGGACTGTTTCACCAAATTCCAGAACTGAAACTGTCCGAGATCTGCAATAATTAGCAAGTCTTAACAGCCGTAATAACTACCTTGTGTACATGCTTTGGCATCTCTATCGGAAACAAGATCCTCAATGCTGAACCAGTTGGTGAGTTTGATCTGCTTCGGGGTCATAGCGACGTTCATAAATTTGTAAAATTGAGAATTTGCCAAGTTGGGTAAGGGAACACGCAATACAGACCAATGTTCAACGACTTTTTTATAAATAACCGAAATTTCGAGCTCTTTTAATCTAATGTCTCGACCATTCATCAATTATAAGCAGAAGTCCCGCCCCGTTGATGGGGCAGAATAAACTACCTCTACTTTAACTTAATTTATTGTCTTTGATAAAAAAGTAAACTAAGATACGAGAGTTAATTTCAAATAATAGCAGGAAGACGCAAAGTATTAAATCAGCCAATGGAAAATATTTAAACAATACTAAACGAATTACGCTCAAAGCTAATAAGAAATCACTGGAAAGAGACTGAATAATCGAATCACGTGAACATAAGATCACCAATTGTTGCCTGCTTACGAGAGAGGAGGTCAATTTTACAGCTTTGGCTAATGTTTGCTTTGAACAAAAAACTCACCTTGAACTCCTCAGTTGGAGAAAGACCATCTGGAGTAAGTAGCTTGAGAAATCCAGCGTCAACCAAAGGTTTCACTGCCTTCTTCAAAATCTCATCGGTCTCAGGATCTTCGACAACAGATTCTCCAAACAAATTAAGACGTAGGGCTCCCAGTGACATTTGATCTACATCTCGTAACTCAAAGAGTGAGAAAGTTGCCGCATGTAGAGCAGTTAACTGAAGGATGTATTGACGCCCATCGTCGGTGTAATGAAGTTTTGATTCTACCATGCAGGCAGATAAAACCCAACGCAAGTTCTTTCCAACGTGCTCCAACTTAAAGAAAGCTTCATAGTGAGCCAGATAGTCGGCCACGGAAGGTGGGAGGTTGAAGTTAATGAGTGCCTTGGAGTTTATCGGCCAGGCACTAACCTAAATACGAGATAAATAACACGTGCACATAGAGGCCGATTGGAAGAAAACGAGGCAATATTATCGACTCCTCTACTTACTGTGAGGACAGTGCAGTGATGAGAAAAGGGAACGGAGATATTGGAATCATTGAGATATGCGCGAAATTTGTCATTCGACGTTAGGGCCACTTGCACATCAGAATGCATACGGTGGAACTTGGAGATAAATTCGTACCCGCAAACTTCTCTTAACTTTGTGATTGTTGATTCTTCCAACTCTAAAGTGGTTGTGGGATTGAATAACAAACGATAACAGAGGCTCTTTTGGTAGAACTAGAAGATGGAAAAGGAAAATGACAAATTTAAGAAGCAACATGACTATGGAAATGTGCTAGATAAGAAAGAATCAAAAATGAAAATATATGAGATTTTAGGTTATCTAGAAAGTAGTGTGGAAAATTTCAAATAATTTGCCGAAATCTAGCTCTGTAAAACTTTTGACTAAAAAAACTCGACACAAAAAAATTAGGGCGTGTGATATGCATAAAATAAACGCTATCCGGAAAAAAGAGCAAATTCGCAATATTTCAACAACCAAAACGAGGTCATAATACGGCATCAAAACAGTATAGTTCTCTAACTGACCCAATCACATAAGCTATCAATTTGAGAAGACGAGAAGATCAACTTTCAATCATTTGTCTAAAAGTTAATGCCATTCAGCAAGATTCCAAAGCTAACACAACATGTCAAACATTCTAATCAAGCAAAAGCAAGAAAACCCACTATTTATGTGCTCAACCTTTAAGTTGGAATCAATACTGTTCTATTGCAGTTGACATCCACGAATTTATTACAATAAACATGCAAATGAAAACTAACCTGTCGGAAGAGATCCTTCTCTTCTATGTATTTGAAGAGAACAATTGAAGCTGAAATTTTATCATCCAACTCCTCATCAATTGGATGCTGTTCGGGACGTCTAAGCAATTCATCCATATAACGATTTAGATATTGCGCCAAACGAGCCGAGTTTCTGAAAAAAAACGAACCAAAGCCATTTTTGAGTTAATCAAACACAATATCAAACTGCCCCCAAAACACTAAGGGATGTTAGCGATAAGTAACTTAGGCATAAACATATTTCGAGCTACTGTACAGGTCAACTCATACTGGTCAAGTGCTATTGCCCTTATAAGGTATGAACATTAGAAATAATTCAAAACCTACGTGATTCGAGCACTGGAAGACGGTTTTGTTGAAGATGAAGATACAGGTGATGGAGGGGATCGATAGGAAAGACTTCCAGCAACTGATTTTTGGACTGATGATTCACAAACAGAAGACGAAGAACAATTGATAGCCTGTTCAAATGCCTTATCCATTTCATTACGATAGGTGGAGGTGCCATCGAACACTTGATCAATAAACTGAGTGAAGTAATTGCGTATTGTCAGCAAGTTGTTCACAAAATAAGAAGGCGCCTGCAAAATCAAAGGATAATAACATTTCGTAAACCGATAGACATTTTGATAATTAAGACTTACTGTTCTATCATTAGGAATTGAAGATAGAACACTGTTCACCTTTGACTTTACTTGTAAACCAAACTGCTTAATCAACTCAGTACACTGATTAGTAGGCGACAAAAGTTGATAGAACTTGCGGAGAACTGTAGAGAGATAAGACAATAAGTTGTGTAATTTTAATTAATATTGCAATAATAGAAACGAACCATCTTTCTGTTCTGTTTTGACGAATTCACCAATATTAGAATTAAGGTAATCCAATTGATCATGAACAAAAATTTCATTGAAAAGATTAATTATTTCTTCGCGCGAATACGGATAGTATTTTGAAGCGCGCTCAGTTTCCTGATTAAGAAACTCAAGAGCCTAAAGGAGATCGAGTTAGTTCAAAGGCAATGAAACAGACCTCCAGAATGAATTCAGTGCAAGGTAGCGTACAGGATCGACTTGTATATTCGGAATAACATATACGAGTTATCTCAATTAATGGCTTAGCGAATAAATCAGCATAAACATTAAGAGCAATTTTGGTTAAGCCCTTAAGTTCATCAACACGAAGAAAAGACTCCAAACAGGGTAAAATACAAATCTGGTGTGAAACAATTCCTAGACGATCGCTAGAAAGCAATAGAAATAAAGAAAATCAAAAAATACTTCGAAACTTCTGCTAAAAGACAAGAAGTAAATCGTGGCCCCAAGGCATCTATTAGAATGGTTTTCCATAAAGACAATCCTAATTGCAAAATTTCCATAGTGTGTGACTGAGCAGCAGGAAGCGGATCACCATAAACCATATCAGCCTCGCATGGCCTCCGTGGAGCGACATATTGGCTATTTACAAATCTAGGTAATGAATCCAATTACCATATAGGCTTTTACCTCAATAAGTTATCAAGCCATTTTAACCCTGTTTGAAAATTGTCCCAATGACGAGCATAGATTAATAGAAATTCATTATCATTAGTACTGGAGAGATCACTCAGTATTTCGGTGATTCGTTCTCTCAAAATCTCGGTTACAGCTTCGTATAGTTTGTAGGCTTGAGATTCAGGACGGGATACACAAAGGGAATATACATCACTGAAGCTTCTGCACCACAAATCATTACCAATATCTTTACATCTTATCACATTTTGGCATACAGCACCAAGATTTTTCCACTTTGCCTCGAAATCCACTGGAACCGCCTTTAGAGTCATTAAGAATTTTTCAATGTTGAAGACGATTATGGTCAAATACTTTGGCTAACTTAACACTTGATCATATGATCAAAATATTTCTTGAAGCAAATTTAGATTAAAATAAAAAAAGTGCCAAATATATTTTTAAATTGTAAATATATTTTCTGGACTCTTTTTAAAATAACTGAGGTCTATTATGCCCTTCATTCTGCTTAAAACTAAACAAAAGCTAATTTAACGTCATTTATTGTTTTTATACGATTTTATTAATTGAAATTAATGGTTTCTTATGCTTTAGCGTCGTTGTCAAGTTCAAGGTTAAGCGGTTATTTGTCTCGAAAATGCGCAAAGATAAGAAAAAAGAGGATGAATTGAAGAAACAGGAAGAAGGTACAGATTTAACGTATTTTTTGAAAATATCTAGAAAAAAGAATTAATGATGAGAGAGAAGCAGCCAAACTGGCTGCAGAAAGGCTTGTGGAATTAAAGCGTCAGCGCGATAAGTACAATAATGTAATAATTAGGACATATAAATTTTTCTCAATGTGTAATTTTATTAAATCTACACCTTTTTGAGTCCATTTTTTACAACGTTAGAGAAATTTTTATATTTTTAATTTTTCGACAAACTCAATTAATTGAGATTTCTCTAATTCAGGAGCTATTATTTCGCAGTTCTGAATTAGCCGAAACTCGCGAATTACTCACTATTTTCAGAGATGCTTTGGAAAAAATTAGGCGTGAAAGGGTAGATCAGTACACCGTACGTTGCCTTTTAAATTACTCATTTATAAGTGGTATCGATATCTTATTTGTGATGGATTACCTAACCCTATTATTGAAAAAGAAATAAACACTTATATTAGTCTTTGGAGGATGGATCATAGCCGAATGTCTATGGAGGATGTAATGATCGACAGTGTAAACTCCTTGAAGGTGAGTTTATTCTTCTCTTACCTTCCAGCTCATCGATGAATTACGGTCATTAATTGCTGATTTGAATGAGGATCATTCAGAATTAGAACGTTATCATGGAGTTATGCAGGAGCTTCGAGAACTTGTACAGGAAAAAGTTAACGGAGCATGTGTCGAGACGTTAACCAAAGCGAGTCACTTTGCTGATCCTGTAACCGGGAATCTGCAGAAGTATTGGCACAACGATTGGCTCTCACTCTGTATTTGGGCCAACCTCTCAAAAAATCCCCGTATTAAAGAGTATACATTTGAGAATGTGGGAATAACGTTTAGCATATCTCAATCACTTACTCATACCGACTGTGCGTTTAGAATTTTATTCATGAAATTCGACACTTATTCTGTGCTTTCGCCTTCATTTAAGCCTCAGCAAATCGAAAATTACGGTGAGATTTTCAAATAGCTTTCAAAATAAGCTCCATTTCCAATTCGATTTCAAACTCACTGTTATTTAGATTTGGGAAGAATCTCTAGTTCTCCCGTTGATAACCAACCAACTTTCAAGTTATCCAAGAATTATAAACAGAATGGTGATGCAAATGAAAACATAGATGTGTTTGATCGAGAAAACATGGATAAAAATGACCCCATCCAACATGAAATGAGAACTACTTTGGTTGGTTATTTTAATCGCGTTAGCATTATTCTAATTTATCAACTGTGAATGGTAATCGATTTCTTGGTGTATAAGAATCTATTCAGCGCCTATTCGGATGATCAACAGGATAAAGAGGAGGTAGAAGTTATTATAGAAGAACCTGAGGAAGACCGTGCAACAACTCCACGTAAGTTTATTTATTTATTTATTTAGTCGAGGTGCGACTCTTAAAAACTGGGCACATTTTAATTAACTTCGGCTCACAATACGTAGAAACATGTTAAAAAATAAAATGTGAATATTTTGGGAATGTAAGCGGATTTTGATTACGCCTTATTTCTAAAATGCCTCAAAGCAAGCAAAAAAAGTAAATGTGTTGTTTATTAGCAAAAAATATTTAAACATTTATTTATTTCAAATGGCAGGCGTTTTGATAGCTATCATTAGCCATTTAGCTGAATTCGGGCTTCACAGAGGGAAGGTTCATCAAAGTAGAAGAAAGTCGAGGGGTGGGGAACAGAAGAGCGATTCACGGATATAAAGAGATTGATGGGCACAAAGGCAGACTATGAAGAAGTCGAATTTGACATACAGTTTTGTGGTGGTAGTCTGAAGTCAAAAGTCAACAGCCAAGTTATAGACTTTTTGCCGTATGAGTATACGTTGTCCAGGGTGCACCACGTGGGGGTAAGTCTATCGCACACCCCAGGTATTTAAACGTCGAGCACTGTATTCGCAGCCCTGTTTATTATGGAAACAATTATGAACACCTATGAAAAGCACCTTCATTTCAAACTCTGTTAAAGTTGCATTATTTTAATAAAATAATTTAAGGGACTTTTGAGAAATTCTCATTACATTTACCTGAATTCAAAACCAGTACTAGATCTCTGAGAAGTATTTACGAGAAGTATGGAAGGTTCAAAAAGAAGAAAGTGTCTTCGATGGGGTCATTATCATGTTGCTGTAAAGCGGCGTTTCATTCGCCCATCATCTGAACCTTTGTAAGGATCTTCCTCTTTCCTGCTTGGACTACCAGGCCTGACAATTTATGTTCGTTTTGGCGTCTAACTACATAACAGTGACGATCTA